CCATTAGAAAAAATCATTCTATTCATTAAGAGAATGCAACTATATATCTACCCCAACCACTTTGAATACACAGATACAAAATGGACATTCATAGTTATATCCCAATTTTTTTTAAAGTTCCGTTGTTCAATATTATAGGTGTGTAAACTCAGCAAAATATTCTAAAAGAGTACAGAAGCCCATAATAGCATTGGGTCTTCTGTTGTGTTTTCTTTGATGGTAAGGAAAGGGGTAAGGAGGGGTCCTGGAAGCCACAGGGCATGGAAGTGAAGCTGGGTAGGAACTCTAGTTTCCTATATTTATAGGAGGCAGCAGGGGTGACCAAAGGCTGGTGCATCCCTAAGGACAGGCTCGATGGTTCATACTGATGGTGGTTCTGAGGACACAACTATGAGCAGAGGTGATGAGAGGAAAGGGACCAAGAACAGACAGAGGACATGAAGGTGCTTTGGTCTCATGACTCGCCTGTTTTGAAGAGCCTTTGAGAACACTTGCGACTCTGTCTCCGGAAGAGGCTGTGCTTGGTGGTTCATAGTCCACTTGGAACACCTTTGTGACAATTCTACTTTGTCGGCTGTCTCTGAAAGTTATTTAATTTCAGTATCCTTTATTCATTATTATTTATTACATTTTTAGTACTACTGAAGCGATACTCCTTGTTAATTTTTTAAATTATTTTTTAATTTTCCCCATCAAATTTTGGAAGCAGTTAAAATTATCAAGAAAAGAACAGCGAACATACATGATAGTATCACAGAGATAACGACTGCTAAAGTTTGGCGTGTTTTCTTCTGGCCTTTTGTTTTATTAGTTAGACTCCTGTAGTCATATAGTTTCATATAGTACACCCCATAGTAGTTAGGGTTTAACTATGCAGTTCAGGCTGGCCTTGAACTCACTTTGTACCCCAGGCTGGTCTCGAATTCAGAGCAATCCTCCTGCCTCAGCCTCCTGAATGCTGGGATTACAGGCATGAGCCACAACACCTGGTTTCTTCCAATCTTTATGCATTTTGAAACATGGTTAAAGTCCTAGAGGGGCATACAAGTGTATCCTCAATTTTTCACTTGTTTTGTCATAAATGTTTTCCTATGTCATGCAAAACTCCATGACCATAATTTATCCTCTTAATTGGTTAATGACTTCAATTTTTAACAGTTTCATCTAAAGTCCTTCGTCATCTTATTAAAGAAACTACTTTAGCTGGTGGTGGGCAAAGGCCTATAATCCCAGCACTCTGGGAGGCTTAGGCAGGAGGATTGCAATTATTATTATAGAAATTACCTAAAGCATCTAGAAATGACTTAAATGACATAGTAATGTAATTTTCAGGAAGTACTTTTTAATCACAAATCAATATAAGCATTAACCTTTTTTTTTTTTTTTTTTTTTTGCAGAACCGGGGATTGAACTCAGATCCTTGCGTTTGCCAGTCAAGCGCTTATCCTACTAAGCCATCTCCCCGGCCCCAGCATTAACCTTTTTGAGTCAAAAATTCATACTTTTTATACAAACTTTCCCTAAACTGAGCACATCTATAAGACTAACAATGATTTTATTTATTTATTTACATATTTAGTTCAGGGTCTACAAGGTCTCACTACACAGATTGGACTCATAGTGATCCTCCTGTTGTCAGCCTCCCAAGCCCTGGGATTACAGGTATGTGCCACCACACCCAGCCTACTAACAATGATTTTAAAAACAGACAATGGATACTGCAAGGCTCCAGCCGGCCCTGACTCTCCCGGGCCCCAGCCTGCCTGTCAGCAGAAACACTGTGGTCCGCAGGGAACTCGGCCCAGCACCAAGTCACCATCAGCAAGCACAGGAGAGGAGACAAGACAGGACCAGGAACTTTGCAGCTCGGGGACATCTGAGAATCCACCCTGGACACTTCACGCTGAGAGGCAAGACTGCCAGAAAACTTCAACCACAGATCCACTGGATCCTTCCTCCCACCTGATGTCTCCTGCCTTCACTCCATCCCTATAAAAGGGACGCACTGCTTTCTGTTCACTGCAGACAGCCCTACTGAGCCCTCTGCCTGCACCTAGGCTCGATACAATTCACACCATGTTGCCTTTACACAAGCCTGGTGGTCTCTGCTGGTTTCCTCTGTTCCCTGTATGTTACAGACAGAGGTCAATTTGTGAGAGACATAAACAATGACTTTATTTATTTGTGGTACTGGAGGTTGAACTCAGGACCCTGCGCTTGCCAGGCAGGTGCTTCTTCTACTGAGCTTTCTTCCCAGCCCTATTTTTTAGCCTCTTGAAAGCTTGATGAACCGCTTCAACCTACATTGCCATTAAATTACTACTTTATCTGAATACTACCAGTAGCTGAGCCTGGTGGCACACACCTATAATCCTAGCACTATGGAGGCTGAGGCAGGAGCACTGATGCAGGTTCAAGGCCAGTCTGAGCTACATAGTGAACTCAGGGCTGGAGAGATGGCTCAGTAGAATAAGTGCTTGCCTGGCAAGTGCAAGGGCCTGAGTTCAATCCCTGGTTCTGCAAAAACAAAAAAACAAACCCCCCCAAAAAAACCCCCAAACAACAACAACGAAAACTACACAGTGAACTCAAGGTCAGCCTGAATTATATAGGGAGACAGCATCTCAAAAAAAAAAAAAAAAAAAAAAAGGAGGGGGTGGGGTGGGGGGCTGGCCAGATAGCCCAGTGGACTAAAGCACCTGCTTGGGCAGAGCACAGCAGCCAGCGCTCGATCCCTGGTGTGCCATGCCAGCCCCACACCTGGGGCATGCTGAGATGGCAATTGAGACTGGATGTGGTGGTGTATACCTGTAATCCCAGAGGTTGGGAGGCTGAAAACTGGAGAATCACTATGAGTCCAATTTATGTAGACCCTGTAGACCCTGTACTAAATACATTTAAAAAAAAAAAGCATACCGGACATGGTGGCACACACCTGGAATCCCAGTACCCGGGAGGCTGAGACAGGAAGATCACTGCCAATTCAAAAGTGAGCTCAAGGCTATCCTGAGCTACACAGTGAAACTGTCTCAAAAAGACAAAATGAAATAAAAATAAATAAAAATAAAAGCTATCTGACACTAACATCTATAGGGCTCTGCCTTATAGTATTAGGCTCCAGAGTACGTAGCTTAATTTTTCACAATTATTGAGAAGACGTGGCATTTTGTTTTGTTCTGTTTTACTGGGCAGTACTGGGGATCCAACCCAGGGCCTTCACTCTGATGCAGTGAGCTACAGCACCAGCCACGTTTTATTTTATTTTTAAATTTTAAGACAGTGTCTCACTAAGATACTGCTAGGCTGTGCTTGAACTCGTGACCCTCCTGCTTCAGCTTCCCTGAGCAGGACGACTTGTTTTTACAGAAGCGATTTAGCAAATGAGGAAGGGCCAGACATTCCCACACTTAGTAAAAAAAATTATAGTTTGTATATAAAGATTTTTAAGAAATCATTATTTTTAGATGCCAAGTCTGAAAATCATCTTTGGTACACATATCGCTCATCTCCCCCAAAAGCCACCAGCCGCTCGGCCAGCGGGGTGATCCTGGGCGTTTCTGCAACCCAACTGCACCTGCCAGGTTGAGTATTTGGTTTGGGGCTTAATTAAACATATTCCTTAAAAGTAGCCAAACCTGTTTTGCTCCACAAAATAATCTTGTGTCCCAGCCAACCAACTTGCTTAACATTCACGGTTTGGGTTTCCTCCCCCTCACAGTGTACTGTGAAGGCTTCCAGACTGGCTGGTGTCGCTGTATTTGAAAACAGGAGACCCTGGGCAGAGTCAGAGGATACATATTCTTTTCCAATTAGCTCAAGTCCACCGAGCTGGGCCAAGAGGAGCTGTGAAGCTCAGTGCGGTCAGCAGAAAATGTTTAGAGGCACTGGCGGTGGGACACGGAACTTGGGGGACACAAGAACTGTTCACTAAACATGTGCCCTTTGCCTGACCCAAGCGCTTTGGTGGCCCTGGCCCCAGAAGGTCTCCTCCTTCTGGAAACCCCAGCGTGGATTTAGAAATAAACACATTATTAATATACCACTTCAGACAGCGGTGTGCACAGCGCTTGTGCACTTTACACCCCAACAGAAGGCAGTTAAAACACAAAAGTTACATAAAGATGATGACATTTAACATAATGTCACCCTCAGAGCCCTGCGCAGCACTGATCCTCACAGAAAGACCATGAGAACCCAATGTTACTATATGGTAAGTCAGCTTCATCACCGAGTACTTAACTTACTTAGACACGGCAATAGCTTTAATTTGTATTTTTCCATCAGGCAGAGTAATAGGTCTTGTATACTTAAATGTGTTATTTTCACCATAACCGATTTTCTTCAGAAATTCAGGTTTGCTGCCATCCAGGGTATAATATATGTTAACTTCTGGGGTGTCTGAAAAAACCCGAAAGAGAGAAAACTAAAGTAGCAAGTCGCTAAATAATGCTGACAGATCAGTTATTCCAGGAGATTTTTATAAATATATTGTAGAGAAGTATAGAATTCTTTATCCTATTTTTAAAATATAATCTAATTTTTAAATGTTTTTTTATCATATTATGTAGGGACTTAAAGTTCAACATATCAATACTTGATGAAAAATACCTGTTCCTTATTATGCCTAAGATGTTTGAAATGCAGTGAGATAGTGAGGTTAAGCTTGATAGCCTAAATCGTTTGATAATAACAATAAGCTTGTCTTCTGCATGGTTAACAACCTAAGTTTGCAGACCAAAATTAGAGAAAAAGGAGGGCTACAAGGAAAGCCAACATTCTGGCCCTAGCCTTCTAAGGTCAATTAAGACTCAGGACATATGAGAACTTGTACGGTAACGTCATGTACCTCGGTAGTGTCCCAGATTTTCTGATCAAGAAGATTATGGGGCCAAAGAGGAAAGTGATCGATGATGTAGAGTGGGCCTAAGGAGAGTCACATGGGGAGAAGACACTCTCTCAGTCTTTCACAGAGAGCACATTGGCCAAGCAATGGCCATGACTCATCCACATGGCTGCACTGACAAAGGTTCTACAATCTGAGGTACAGAATCTCAGGATAAATCCTGAGGGCATTTCACTGACCTTGTCAGACCAAAAAGCTACAAGTCTTGTTGCATAGGTCCTGCTTTACCTTGGTCTTAACCATCCAGTAGAAAAGTATGAAGACGAAATATAGGAAGTAAAGCCATGTTGTTATGTTGAGCTGTGGGGGACTCAGGTCAATAATTTCTACATTGCCAGTTAAACAGAAGACCCAATGCTATTATGGGCTACTGGACTCTTTTAGAACATTTTGCTGAGTTTACACACCTATAATATTCAATAACGGAACTTAGAAAAAATGGGGTATACTGATGAGTGTTCTTTTTGTATCTGTGTATTCAAAGTGGTTAGGATAGACATATAGTTGCATTCTCTTAATGAATAGGATGATTTGTTCTAATAGTGTTTGTAAATAGGATCTCAAGTCCGCATCTTGTACAGCAATTAAGCACTAAGAAGAATGTATGCAGTGTGGTATTTGTTGAAACTGTACTTCTGATTTGATTTGAAACTGTCTCATTGCTATCTGTTTATCAATAAAATTTTGAAAGAAAAAAAAGTGTTCTCTATGGAAAAAAAATATATTGTAGAAGCAACAACAATGACACAACACAGGGCTACGGTGCTGCTGAACGAGCTCACTTCCGCTCATGACATGAGGTAGGTTCTATTTCACATCAGTTTACAAAGGAGGAAAGTGAACCCCTGAGAGGTTAACAAGCCTGCTGTATAAAACAGGGGTTGTGGTCTGTTAAACTTCTGTTAGTCTGCCTCCGTTGTCCAAGCCCCTACACTGCTGAGTCTTTCATCCATGGCGCATTGGTACAAATCAAAAAGGAGTCAGTTTTGAACAACAGAACACAAGCTAATTTTTATTTATCTATTTTATTTTCTTTTGCAGCAATAAGATTGAATTCAGGCCCTTGCGCTTGCCAGGAAAGCACTTATTCCACTGAGCCATCTCCCTGGCTCTAATTTCAATTTTTTATTTTTTTTGGCAGAACCAGGGATTGAACTCAGGCCCTTGTGCCTGCCAGGGAAGCACTTATTCCACTGAGCCATCTCCCCGGCCCCTAATTTTTAATTTTTTGAGAGTACTTTCTGTTCTATTTTGGGGTGCTAGGGACTGAACCTAGGGCCTCATGAATGCTAGGCAGGTACTTTTTATTTTGGTTCTTTTGAGACAGGGTCTTACGACTTGTAGTGACCCTTCTGATTCAGCAACCGTGCTTTTAGGCAAGCACTCTTCCAACCCTAGCCTTAGGCATTTCTAGCCACTAGGCCACCAGGGAACTGGCTCCTCAGCATTTCTTTTTTTTTTTTTTTTGGTAGAACCGGGGTTTGAATTCAGGTCCCTGCACTTGCCAGGCAAGCACTATTCCATTGAGCCATCTCCCCAGCCCCTCCTCAGCATTACTTAAGGAATACTTTGTTGGGCTGGGCAGGGTAGCTCACACCTGTTTGGCACTCAGGCAGCAGTGGCAGGAGGATCATTTTGAGTTCAAGGCCAGCCTGGGCTACAAAATGAGTTCAAGGTCAGCCTTGAACTACTGCATAGTGAGACCCTGTCTCAAAAAGAGAAAAAAAAATGGCTTGCTATATTTTATTTGGACTTGATGCATAATCCCTGTACTAGAAAAAGTTTTAGATGCAACAAATTCATATGATTCAAAATTCTAAAGGTTCAAAAGGGTGGTGAGATGGTGAGATGGCTCAGTGGTCTAAAGCACCTATTTGGAACAAGCTTGGCAAAGCACAGGGACCGCAGTTCAATCCCCCAGCACCACATGCCAGCCAGCCCCGCCCCCTGGTGGGCTGAGCTGGCCCCCCCCACATTAAAGCAAACAAACAAAAACAACAACAACAACAAAAGGGCCACATGATGAAATCTCTCCCTGCCGGCTCTCACCCTAGTTATCAGGAGGCAACCAACGTCTCTTCGGCACCCATCATCAATATTTCACCTGCACGTAAACAGAGGCACATGTTCTCATTGCTCTCCCTCGCTACCCCAGGGCTGGCCCTGCTCCACGCACTCCTGTTTGCATTCAACAGCTTGGATGTTGTCCTACTCAGATACAGAAAGCGCTTCTGTAACCAATATGAGTGGTTTTCTTTAAGCATAATTATGTTGAAATATACTTGTAAAAAGAAAGAAAAAGCTTCTGCATTTTGGTACAGCTCCATCGAATTCTCTCATATAAACAAGAATAATTTAACCAATTCCCTACAATGAATATTCAGGTCATTAGCTTTTTCTCTCCCTCCCTCCCTTTCTCCTTCCCTCCCTCTCCTTTTTTGCAATTATAAGCATTGTAACAAATAATTTTGTAAGCATGGTATAAAGTAAATATGTAGAAATAGTATTGTTGAGTTAAAATATATACATAGTTATAAATTTTTCTGTGTGGGGGAATGAGGTCTTGCTATGTTTCTGAGGCTGGTCTCAAACTCAAATTCTCTTGTCTCCACCTCCCAAATAGCTAGGACTACAAGCACATACCATGAGCCTGGATTTTCACTTATAATTTTACTTAACACTGCCCAGCCGCTCTCCATGGATGACTAAGCAATTTACACTGTTACCAGCAACCTGTAGAAGTTGTAATCAACCTGCTTGCTAACAGTGTGGAATCAACTTTTCTTTAGTTTTGTTAATTTTCCTTTTTTTGGCCAGCTCAGCCCACCCTGAGGGCGGGGCTGGGGCAGCATGTGGTGCTGGGGATCAAACTGCTTGCCTACGCAAGTTTAGACTGCTGAGCTAGCTCACCGGCCCCAGTTTTGTTAATTTTCAAAGTTAAAATACATAGTATCCTGAGCTTCAATCCACTTTTCTTTTTAAAATTTCTTTCTACTGCTTTATTTGGTACAGGTTTTCACTACACAGCTCAGACTTGTAGTTATATTCCTGTCTCAGCCTCCCCAGTGCTGGGATTTGCAGGTGTGTGCCACCACACCTGGTTTTGTGGCAGGTATGGTGCACCCAGGGTTCTGGGTCCGTCACGGCATGAGGTCTCAGGAATCAAACTCAAGAGGTGCTTAGACCGCTGAGCTATCTCCCCAGCCCCTTTCAATTCTTTTTCCTTAACTGTGATGCTGGGTATCAAATTCAGAGCCCTGTGCAAAGTAGGCATGGGCTTTACCACTGAGTCATATCCCCAGCCCCTTGGCTTGTATTGTGATAAGCTATGCATTCATTCAACAACTATTTCCTGAGTATCTATCATGTGCCAGACACTGTTGCAGGCACTGGGGACACACAAGTGACCCAACTCCCTGCTTACATTTCAGGAAGGACCCAACACCAGTAAACAAACAACTAAATGAAAACAGTTTGTCAGATGGCGAAGTGTCCTGGAATAAATTAAGCAGAAGCTAAGCTATGGCCAATGTCAGCCTGCTCAGGGGATACAAAGGAGAGTTTTGAGGGAAAGGTACTAAGGTTAAAAAATGCACCTGCGCAAGACATCAGCGAGAGCAGGCCGCGTGGAGCGGAACAGAGGGCCTGAGCTTCCTGCATGTTTACTGTATAATTCCTATACAGGTTGTTATCTCAGATTTACAGTCTTACATAGTGCTGGAACCAGCAAATGCGTGTTTACCTGTGCTGAGTCATGGTAACATAAAGGTATCCCATGAGCATCTGCACTCGACAAGCAGTCACATTTTCAGGTGTCCTTAGATGCCCGTTAGCCTTGAAGTAGTCTGAGTGGTTCAGCGGTTGCCCACTGCCAATCACCAGCTCAGGAAGGGATGGCTAGAAGCCTTCTCTTCATTTATGTAAGAGAGATTTCTTTTTTCTTTTCTTTTC